AGTGAAACTCCATCTCAAAAAAAAAAAGAAAAAAGAAATAAAATTTGTAGTTGATAGCCTTCCCAAAAAGAAAAGTATAGGCCCAGACCTTTTCAATGGTGAATTCTACCAAACATTTAAGGAAGAAGGAATACCAATTCTATGCAACATCTTTCAGAAAATACAAGAGGAGGGAGAACTTCTGATTTCATTTTATGATGCCATCATTATGCTAATATCAAAACCAAAGATAGTACAAAAAAGGAAAACTGCAGACCAATATCCCCCATGGACAGACACACAAATATCTTTAGCAAAAATATCAGCAAAGCAAATCCAGAAATATATGAAAAGAATGATATGCTACAACCAACTAAAGTTTATCCCAGAAGTTCAAGGCTGGTTAAACGTTCAAAATCAAGCAGCATAATTCACCATAGTAACAGACAAAAAAATAAAAAACATATTATCATTTTTACAGATGCAGGAAATGCAATTAACAAAATTTAACTCATGAGAAGAAATCTCAGCAAACTAGCAATATGGGGGAACTTCCTCAATTTGGTAAAAGGTGCCTACAAAAAGCCTACAGCTAACATAATTAAAAGGTGAAAAATGGAATGCTTTCCCTCTAAGATCAAGGATGTCTACTCTTGTCATTTTTATGCAACATTTATAGTATTGCAGGTTGCAACCACAGACAAGGCTATCAGAACTATGGGATATGAGGTCAGTGAAATCAATTGACAAACCAATTCTAAAATTGATATAGAAAAACAAAGGACCTAAAATAGCCAAAACAACTCTGATAAAGAAAAAGTTTGAGGGCTAAAATTAACTGATTTCAAGAATTATTATAAAGCTACAGTCATTAAACAACATGTTGTTGGTATAGAACAAATAGATGAATGGAAGAGACTAGAGAATCCAGAAATAGATCTACATAGATATGGTAAATTGACTTTTTTTTTGATACGGAGTTTTACTCTTGTCGCCCAGACTGGAGGGCAGTGGCACGATCTTGGCTCACTGCAACCTCTGCCTCCTGGGTTCAAGCAATTCTCCTGACTCAGCCTCCCGAGTAGCTGGGATTACAGGCACCCACTGCCACACCTAGCTAATTTTTTTGTATTTTTAGTAGAGAAGGAGTTTCACCATGTTGGTCAGGCTGGTCTCTAACTCCTGACCTCAGGTGATCCTCCCACCTCAGCCTCCCAAAGTGCTGGGATTACAGGCAGGATCCATTGCGCCCTTCAAGTAAATTGATTTTTGATGTAGTTGCAAAAGTAAATCAATGGAGTAAAGGCAGTCTACTAAATAAATAGTACTGGAACAAATGAAATTGGTATGCAAGAAAACAAACAGTGATATAAAGCTCACAGTATTTATAAAATTCAATCAAAATGGATCATAGATCTAAATATAAAATATGTAAAATTATAAAACTTTTAGAGGCCAGGTGCAGTGGCTCACGCCTGTAATCCCAGCACTTTAGAAAGCCAAGGTGGAAGGATTACTTGAGGCCAGGAGTTGGAGCCAGCCTGTGGGCAACATGGAGAAATTCTGTCCTCTCTACAAAAAATACAACAATTTTCAGGGCGTGGTGGCGAGCGGCTATAGTTCCAGCTACTCAGGAGACTGAGGTGGGAGGATCACTTGGGCCCAAGAGGTCAGGGCTGCAGAGAGCTATGACCATGCCACTGCACTCCAGCCTGAATGACAAAGTGAGACTCTGTCCCAAAAAGAAAAAAAAAAAAAAACTTTTAGAAAAAAACAGAATAAAATCTTCAGGATCTTAGGCTAGATGAAGAGTTGTTAGATTTGACATAAATGCATGATTCACAAAAGAAAAATTGTATTGGGGATTTCATTAACATTTTAAAATTTTAGTTCTTCAAAAGAGAATGAAAAGAAAAACCTATGGGCTGCTAGATAATATTTGCAAATTAAATATGCAACAAAGAACCTATATCCAGAGACAAAAACAGTGCCTGGCTCTTGGTATTGTTTTAAAAACTAAGGGAGTTAATACAAGTCCTTAGTGTAGTGCGTGGCATGTATAAACCATTTAAGAAAAGTGAACTATTGTAGCTTTATTATTACTGTTATTATAGGATTCTTTAAAATTGATAAAAAGATACAAGCAAATGTTCATCAACGAATTGTTAAATTATGTTATATATATTACAAGGAATATTTGACAGTGGTTTAAAGAATGCAGTAAATCTGTATGTACTAACCTGAAAAGGTGTTCAGAACACCTTTGTTGTGAACAAAGCAAATTGCAGGGCAGTCAGTATAATATGAGCCCAGTTCTGCAAGAAGAACATTATATATTTTCTGGAAAATTTTGTAGAATGGTACTCAGTAAACTGCTAACAGTTGTTATCCCTGGAATGGGGAGTGGAATGAGAAGGAGAGGAAAGGGAAGGTTGCGGGTAGGGAAATTTAAAGGGGGTCTTCATTTTTCATTCTATTTGTTAATATAAGAATATATTTCTTACTTATAAAACGAAAAATACAAATAAAAATAATTTTTTAAAAGACCAATGATAAAAAATAACTTTGTGATTTTCTTCATTGATGGATTCAAGTGGATGAAGTACAAGCTTACTTTGGACTGAAAAGTTTGCCCAAAACCAGCCAGAGCTTCCGTTTGTAACAGCCAACATTGATGGAGTGCTGCTTGCTGGCAGCACAAAGAACTGAGTTATTGTCCTGGTTGTGCCAATAACTAGCTTTGCTATGCTATTATTATAAATGTTAAACTATAAACTGGAATCAAGTGTTTTTTCTCTGTCTTCCCAGCCTGTAACACAGGCCCTCGTTTGGAGTTAGTGCTCTGTTAATGGGAGGGACTGACAGGAGTTGAATTGAAGCAGCTGTAACAGCCCTGCCCAGGCCCCGTCGCAGTGCCACATGATCACCATCTAGTGGAAAAAAGGATTACTGCAGAATTTAGCTAGGAGACGAAAAAGACGTATTTTGTGGCGTGTTCCAGGGACAGATGCGTGTCAGCAGAAAAGCACTGACTATGTATGATCTTTCGTAGAGAGTGTTCCCAACCATCAGGGTTTATGTCTTGGAGTGCTGGTAAGATGACACCTCTGGTCACTGCCCCACGTATCTCTAAGTTGCGAAGTGTGCACTCTTGCCTCCTCCCTGTTCTACCCAAAGGAATGAAACTTGTGTGATAATAAGCACACACACCCATGCCTTCCCAACGTTGATGGAACACTAATAAACTTCCCTAAGCCAGTCTCCTTAAGACGAGATACAGAAGAAAGACTTGGAAATCGACTATTCTATAATCTTTGCACTGCAGGCAAAGATGCAGGTGGCATCTTTCTGAATCATCTACTGAAACTGTATAGTGAACCTTTAAAATGTCTGTCATTCCAAAGGACAACAAGGAAACTCATCCTGAGTCAGTAATGCTCATGAAGGTGATGGGAGCAGGTGTTCTTCTACTGCCTCCTTTAAGTAGCTTCACAGTTAAGGAAGCAGCTGAGTAATGCAGAGGCCAGGAGGTATTGGACCCTGTGCTTATGGACGCGTGGACTCAAAAGCAAATGATGTAGGGACAAACTGGCAGTTAGAGAAGTGTCAGTGTTCATACAGTCCTGATATTCACTTGCTAAGTAGAACAAGCTTCCTCTAAAACTGTTCAACAGACAGCAGAAATCTAAGAGACAAACAGTGTGTAGCCTACAGTGAATGGGGAGAATCTCCTGGCACACATTCTGGAAGTATTCATACATTATTAAAATCTTTTTGTAATCACACCTCTTTATCCACACAATATGTGCCTAATGTATGTGGGAAGAAAAACACTTGCGAAATTTGGCGAGAAGAGGACTGCAGTATGAGAACATAGCATAGAGCAGAATACCAGGCAGAAGTACATTTGTGGTGGGCTGCTTTGGATGAGTGCAGACATGGGAGAGTTTTTTCCTACAACCGTGCGGTGAAGTTGCAGAGAAATTAGAAATAATGAACAAGATGAATAAATGCAGCTACTCCGAGCCTAAAAAAAGCAAGAAGTCCTAATATCTATTTATATGCAAGTCACTGGGGACTGAAGTGGTTCTTCCTAATGGCTGGAAAACACGGAGTAGCAATAAGGTCTGTAAGCGGAATGTTTTTAAGACCTTATCGTGAGGACACAGATGGAGATAAAGAACGTTTGAGGTGTCGAGAGTACATTTTGAAACGGTAATGGAATAAGTAGGAAGATGTGCTCTTCCAAGTATTCCTAATTTCATACTAGTAAAAGTCAATTGTCCTGCTGGTACTAAACAAGCTCGGTGTCAGCATTAAGAAGAAGCTGAAACGAGTCACACGATGAGAAACGAGCTAGAATGTGAAGGGTTCCAGTCACTCCTTACGGTCCAGGGGGAATGCACCCTTTCGAGATGTCTCCCTGCCCGCTCCTGCACAGAGACAGTCGCCTGGGATTGTGGCCGCAACCCGCCTCCCTCCGCTAGAGTCAGCGTCGGTCTGGAGTCCCTGAACCCCGCGGGCAGGCGCCACCTGGCCTCCGGCCCGCTGCCCTGCACAGCGGCGACGCTGGCTCGACGTACGATTTGGCTTTCCGTCGATCGGCCTCGTCCGCAGTACCGGGCGCCGGGAGCGGCTGCGCCAGGCGCGCCCATAGCCCCGCGGCTTCCCGCGGCCACCACGCGGCAGCTCTGCGGGCGGGTGCCCGGGGACGCGAAGGCCCGGCGGGATGGCGGCGCCCCTACTCACGTAGCGCTGTAGCTTCCTCTCGGGGGGCGACTTAACGAGCCAGCCAGTGCACACTGCGTCGCCCGCACTCATCGCTGCCGCCGCCGCTTCCTCCAGCTGGGCCGGCCGCCCACTGCAGAAGGAAGTCAGGCCAAGGATGCCGGCGGGGCGGACCCAGCACCCGCCCGCCCAGCGCCGCCCCGAGCGGCCGCTGCGACCCCCGCCTCCGGCCGCGACGGCCCCCAATGAGGGAACCAACTCCGCCTGCGACCCAAAACGGCGGGAAAAACTGGCAGCTAACCCTGGGAAGCCCCTTCGAGCAAGTGCAGCGCCGCCAGCGGCTGTGTCCTGTGAATCCTAGGCAGCACGTCGTCTGCCACTCTCACGCAGGGTCACGAGAAACCGCTCGGAAGGACCTAATCAGCCACGCCAACGCCCACGTAGCACCCACATCTGCCATGTGTATAGTTTAGGGACACACAAAAGCAAGGCTCCTCTTTGACTTCCCTATTCCACTTGATTGTATTTTCCATGTCCCTCCCGCAAATGTCCGTGTATTCAGTGATAAGCTCTGCCAGCTAACTGTCCGAATGAACACAAACGAACCAAACTCAAAAGGTAGTGCTGTTTCCACTCTCTTCTCACTCTAACGTTTTAAAAGATGGATCTAAAGCTGATTGTGGCAACTAATGTGCTGACCACGCTAAACAAAAATAACAATCACGAGCATCTAACACTTGTGACCTTCCTTACTGCCAAGCTAACACGATGCCAGCGATTGTGCTAAGCACTTTATAGGCGTTATCTCATTGAATCCAGACAAACACCCTGTCAGATGGCTTTTATTATTATCTCAATTTTGCAGGTCACTAAAATGAAAAACAGGATGACAATGTCACTTGTGGACATCCACACAAGTAGAAAATCACCCATATGCAACCAGAGCTGTCTCAGGAGCCCACCCACTTAAGCACCACCGTCTGCTTTTTATGTGCATCATCTGACACTTGCTAGCATCTTCCACAGTATAACCATCCTCCTATCCTTTCAAACTAGATGCTTCAGTGTTATGAGCTAACATGATAAAACTAGTGGACTCCATCAGCATGAGCACACTGGCTTATACTGATTTTCTTGTGTAACATTATGTCAGTGTGAATAACAGGTTCAGTAAGTCAATGGATGACAGTGCCAGCAGAAATGTGAATTTTAAATAGCGAATCCATGTACAAAATTAGTACCTGGTCAACTTAGAACAAAGTGCTGCCCCTTCCAGATGACAGTCCAGGTGGCTGCCTAGTCTTCCCCCGGAATTCTATGTTATTAGGGGTTCATTGTTGGTCTCTGCCTGTGGGCAGCTTGATCACTTATCAGTGGCTGTGGCCATATCAACTGTTGCCAGTCCCTGAGAGCCTGACTATGCATTGCTAATTCTCTAAGCCTTGCTCACACCTCTGTTTTAAAAAACTCCCTTAATTATACTTTTTCCTCATTTCAACCCCTTGAGTCTACCATTTGCTTCCTTTAGAAACCTTGACCAACAGACCTGATCATGAGAAACTCACTATGACACTCCGGGTGTGAGTCCAGGAAATGGTGATCACGCAGCAGCAGGGGCCACAGAGACGTGAGCCACCTGCTCAAGCAACTTTCCCAGACCTTCCAGACCTGCTTGAGTCTGGTCTCAAATACGCCGCTTCCAGTATAGGACCAAGTACCACCAAATTTATCAGAGGCAGCTGAACTTACAAGGTTCCTTGGTGCCCCATAGTCAAGCAGTCAGACTTTGCCACAGCCCAGTAGCAAGCTCAAAGCTGTTGGACAAAAGGAAAATACTTCCTTCGTGGTAAAGGGCATAGTTTACTTCAAAACTCTTGGTGTTTGTTGTATGTGTTTCTCCTATTGGGACTTTCCAGAGACTCCATGTAGCCTCCCAATGTGTCGAAAGATCTGTGCTTGTTGAATCTACATGGTCATAAGGGTCAAGTGGCATGGACCTGTCACAGAGCCTTTTCTCGCTCTGGATCTCTCCCTGAAAACATGCAACCCTACAGATTACTTGCTGAGTGTATTGGTGTGGCACAATTAAATGTAGCATATGTTGCCTACAAAATTCAAACACCCACACCAAATGCTATGACTTTCTGAGCAATAAGTGGTATGAGGTGCAACAACATGTTGAATAACCAACATGGTCCAGATCATCTAAAAACTTCACTCAGGTTCAGGCTCCTGAGTTTTCATGGTGCTTTTCTCCCACCCTGTGGTGTACTTGTATCTTAATAAATCATCTATGGGATTCGCTACCTCTTGATCACCAGGTCCAATATGTATGTCATCGGTGTAATAAACCAGCACAATGTTCACAACAATCAAGCTCCATTCACCGTGGATTATGACAGTGAGCCAGAGAATAGATAGAGCCCTAAAGTTGTACTTCTGTTCCCGCCAGATGAAAGCAAGCTGCTTCTGGTACTCTTTGCTGAATGGGAAAAAATAACATTTGGCAGATGAATAGCTGTATCCCAGGTGCCAGGGGGCTGTGTTGATTTGCTGTAGGAAAGCCGCGTCATCTAGAATAGCAGCTTCAGTTCAAATCACAACTTGATTAATTCTATAATTACCCACTATTCATCTCCGTACTGGCCAGATAGGTTAAATAAAAGTGTGATATAAGTAATTATTCCTGTATCTTTTAAGGTATACTGTTCTCCCTGCCAGAGAAATCCAAATTGTTCCTTTCATATAAACCCATCCTACCTTTTTTGCACCCCAGCCTGGGGAGAGGAGAGAATTTGAAAAGTAAGTGATTTTTGGCACCTGGAGTCCCTTTGTGGTTTCCCTGTTCACTTTTTATTTAAAATAGGCTTTGTTTCACAGTTCATTAACTTTTAGAAATTTTATAACTACAAACTTGTGAAAATAAATGTCCACTAGTACAGAAGACTTTCTATCTCAATTACATCATGATAAGAAAAGTGGTTATGCATCTGACTTATTCACTATGAAAAGATAATTTGAAAAGAAAATTCTGGACCATAGACAGGCATGAGAGCCAATAACGAGGGAAAGGACTGCACCTTCCTATATCTCTTACCTCCCACCCACCTCTTGATTTAATAAATCTAAGAAGCATGTGAATTAAAGGCCTAGAGTGCTATGGTACAAGCTCATATAGATAGGGGAATACTCTTTTTCCCATATAGGCATCCATGAAGGACTTCTCTAAGAGTGAAAACCGTATAATTTTCATCTGGAATATGAAATTTGACTTTATTATTATCAATGATAGTCTTTCATCATTTCCATCATTGTTGTATTTAAAATTGCCCAAAATTGGTCAGGTATGGTGGTTCAGACCTGTAATCCCAGCCCTGTGGGAGGATGAGGCAGGAGGATCCATTGAGCTCAGGAGTTCGAGACCAGCCTGAGCAACACAGGAAGAACCCCATCTCAAGATAAAAAAATGAAAATAAAATTGCACAAAATTGTTGTCATAAGTCCAAATCAAACACTTTTCAATTCATTCTATGAAGCCAGTATTACTCTGATACTTCCTAATCCAGAAAAAGTTAAAAAAAAAAGGCTACATACCAATATGCCTCATTAATATAGACACAAAACTCCTTAGAAAAATACTAGCAAATAGAATCCACAAACACATAAAAAGAATTATACACCATGCGTCTCAGAGATGCAAGGCTTGTTCAATATTTGAAAGTCAATTAATGCAATACAGTACATTAACAGACAAAAGAAGAGAAATCATATAATTATATCAGTTGATGCAGAACGAACATTTGACAGAATCCACACCAATTCATGACAAAAACTCTCAAAAAACTCAGAAAATGGGGAAATTTCCTCAACTTATTAAAGAACATCTACAGAAGACCTTCAAGTAACATCCTCCTTCCTGGTGAAAACCTGGACACTTTCCCCTTAACTGGGAACAAGGCAAGGATATCCACTCTCACCACTTGTATTCAACATCGTACTAGAAGTTCTAGTTCAGTACAGTAAGATAAGAAAAAGAAACAAAGGGCATAAAGATTGGGAAGAAAAAAAGTCTCAATTTGCAGATAACATAATTGACTCCAAAGAAAATCTCAAGGAATGTGCAAAAACAACTCCCAAAACTAAAAAGTGAGTTTTGAAAGGTTGCAGGATACAAGGTCAACACATAAATCTCTTTATATGACTTCAAGGCTTATTATAAAGCTACAGTAATCAAAACTTTTTGGTATTGGTGAAAGGATAGGCATATAGATAAATGGTATGGAATAGAGAGCCTGGAGATAGGCTCACACAAATTCATCCAATTGCTTTTTGACAAAGGTGCAAAAGCGACTCAATGGAGGAAGGATAGTCTTTTCAACAAACTGTGGCAACTGGACACCCACAGGCCAAAAACAAACAAAAAACCTCAAATGAAACTTATACAAAAATAAACTCAAAATGGATCCTAGATTTAAATATAAAATGTAAAACTACAAAACTTTTAGAAGACAAAATAGGAGAAAATCTTTGGGACCTACAACCTGGTGATGAGTTCTTAGACATGGCACCAAAAATACAATCCATAAAAGAAAAAATTAAGGCCAGGTGCAGTGGCTTATGCCTGTAATCCCAGCACTTTGGGAGGCCAAAACAGGAAGATCATTTGAGCCCAGGAGTCTGAGACCAGCCTGCAACAAAGGGAGACGACGTCTCTAGACCAAATTAAAAAAAAAAAAAAATTAGTCTGGTGTGGTGGTGCACACCTGTAGTCCCAGCTACTCAGGAGACTGATGCA